TAAGAAGTCGTTTGATTCTAAATTCCCAGTCAAGAAATTCCAATCAATATGACTAAAGTTAAAGTCTCCTAGAATTACTACGTTATCGTGCCTAGTGGCCTTAACAATTTCCTCCCATAGTAGTCTCCCTTGGTCCCTATCTAAGTTTGGGGGACGGTATATCACACCTAAAATAAAGTTTTTGTCCCTCTGAAAATTCTATCCAAACGAAATAGCTGGTGGTATGGAATATCAGTGCGTAGAAGAAGGGCACTTTCATTAAAGGTCCCATCAGGAAAAGGATCTGAAGAATACAATAAATTATAGCCTAAGATGGGATAGATAACGGCAGAGTGTAATTTTGGTTCCTGTAAGCAAACACCAGCAGGGGAAAACTGGGAGAGCAACATCTGAAGCTCACCCCGATTACCCCTGAGGCCGCGAATATTCCACTATAAATAGGCCATGATTGGCAACGATAAAGATGAAAGTTAAGACACGTGTGCAACTTCTGGATATCATTATTGTAGACGTTTCGCCATCCAGTGGCTTTATCAATACAAATTCTAGGACATAATTGGAAGACTGTAGAACTATATACAAAAGATGAGATAATCAGTCCCTCAGCCTTGGAGTTAGTGTTCACAGCATCGTGGTGGAGGAGAATCTGGTGGAAAGGCAAGAAGACTGGCGGTTATATAGGCGTCAGTGGATAAGGACGTGCAGCAGACGAGGGCATAGTCACTGGTAGGCGGGATTCCCCAGTGGAAGTAGGTCCTTCCCAAAGGGATGGGTTAGTTGTAGCAGCCGTGAAGAAGGTCTTGTAGATGTCCTTTGAACCAAGATTCCATGACGTTGCAGTGTCTGACAAGTTGTGCAAGAAAGGTATAACTTTCATATTTATTTTTATTATTTTTTATTATCACACTGGCCGATTCCCACCAAGGCAGGGTGGCCCGAAAAAGAAAAACTTTCACCATCATTCACTCCATCACTGTCTTGCCAGAAGATATTTTATACCTTTCTTGCACAACTTGTCACACTGGAACATCATGGAATCTTGGTTCAAAGGACATCTACAAGACCTTCTTCACGGCTGCTACAACTAACCCATCTCTTTGGGAAGGACCTACTTCCACTGGGGAATCCCGCCTACCAGTGACTATGTCCTCGTCTGCTGCACGTCCTTATCCACTGACGCCTATATTACCTCCAGTCTTCTTGCCTTTGCTCCAGATTCTCCTCCACCACGATGCTGTGAACACTAACTCCAAGGCTGAGGGACTGATTACCTCATCTTTTGTATATAGTTCTACAGTCTTCCAATTATGTCCTAGAATTTGTATTGATAAAGCCACTGGATGGCGAAACATCTACAATAAAGATATCCAGATGTTGCACATGTGTCTTAACTTTCATATTGTCGGTATTTTATATTTTTCTTGCACAACGATAAAGATACCTGAAATCCACAGGCAAGGGTACCTACGGACTAGAGGGGTTAGAAAAGTCCACATGCGGTGGCAAAGGAAAACGTTCAAGTAGCGAAGGAACGGTGTGTTGTGAAGAAAGGAGTTGCACAGATGGAGGAGAGGAAAGAGAAGGAACAGAGGGTGGATCAGTGTCCATTGATGGTTTGGTCTCTTCAATATATTCAGAGATTGCTTCAAGTGTTTCGGAATTCAGAGACGTCGTATGGGAGACAATATTGGAGATGGAAGGAGGAGGAGTTTGAGTAAAGATCGGAGCTGTAATGGACTGTACCAAGGTAGGGGGGGGGGCGAAAGGGTGGAGGGAACTGGAGAAGTGTGGGAGGGGAGAGAAGAGGCAGAAACCTGGGAGGTGGCAGGAGAGGAAGAAACGTGGGAGGGGACAGGGGAGGAAGGCACAGTACGAGGAGGAGGATGGACCTCCACACTTGTAACAGAGCCAGTGAAAGGGTAAGATTCAGGTACAGAGACCGGGAAGGTAAAATGTGGAGGTGGATGAAAAGAAGGAGGGGTTAAAGGAGATTTTTTGGGCCTCTGAGAAGTAGAGGGTCGATTGGGAGGAGGTGTCGTACGAGGTCTTGTCGATACCGAGGTTTGTGAGGGAGGACACGAAGAAGTGAGGACAGACTGAGGAGTTGAAGTAGGGACGTCTGAGCCCAGGACAGCAAAAGAATTAGATACAGGAGTGACTATGGGACTGGCAACCGCAGAGGAGGGTGCAGAAGATGTGACCCCAGAAATGCGGAGACACTTTGAAACACGAAAATAAGAAACATGGGGCAGTCTCCCTTGGAGGCGGAGGTGAGAAACTGCCATAGCATAAGGGAGACCTTCTGCCTCTTTGAGGCAACGAATTTCCCGCTCATTTAAGTAGACTTGGCAACGGCGAGAGTAGAGGCAAGAGGGAGTTCGACTGTAAGACGTATTAGAATGGTCATCGGCACTACAGACTGGTCATTCGGCTATAGATCTGCAATATTTTGCTGGGTGGCCAAATCACCAGCAATTCCTACACTGTTGCGGTGTAGGGATCACCTTCCGAACTTGTAACCGATGCCCTGCTACATAACTAGAAGATGGAAGTTCACGGCTGTCAAAAGTTAAATGAGCCATATTACAAGGGTATCGTCTTCGCCCGTGGGCAGGAAGAACATAAGTGTCTACCTTGAGAATTGGGAGATCTTGGAGTTCCAGCTGTTCAAGAATGTCAGCCACATGTCTGGAAATTCTGTTGGACTATGGTATGGGGCAGAATAACAGTACCACTACAAGAATTGAGGGAATGATGTTTTTCGATAGTGATAGGAATAGTATCGATATGTGAAAGAAGAGAAAGATCATGAGCTTGAGTAGAATTCTGGACTGTGATGATGCACGTACCACTCTTAAGAGCATGAAAGGAAATATCTCTACCAACGTGGCGTAGGAGCGCTTTGCCAATACTATTGTCAGAAAGATAGGCAGTAGAAGAAATCAGTCTTAATGTAAAGAATTTAGTCCATTGTGTGGTCTGAAACTGAGTGTGGAGAGGGAGTGCATGACGTGTCGGTCTTTTCCGAGTAGAAAGGGAAGGTAACGAAGTAACATCATTAGGAGATTGTCGTTGACGTTTAGAAGTGGGACCAGAGTCGGTCGGACCAGAGTCGGTCGGACTTGAGACGGGCTGGCGATTTGAAAATCGCCGCACTGTAGGGAGAAGCCGGAAACATAGTCAAAGGAGAGCGGAGGTCAGACAAATCGAAGGAGTCATTGAAAGCCCCGGTACCTGAAGTGGGTGAGGAAACAGCACCAGCAAGAGGTACAGGGGCCTTAGGAATGTCCGAAGAGTGGCCAAAAGATGAGACGAGGTCAGAACGGGGTGCGATAACAATAAGGGGCCCGGGGTTAGCGGGTTCATGGATCGGGTACTCCATGGTTAGGTTACTTCTTTCTTTTTGTTTTTAAGAAAAAAAAAAGAAGAAAAGAAAATAAAAATAAAAAATAAAGAATAAAAAAAGGGGGGACCGAGGAGGGATAGTTCCTAGGAGGAATGAATATGCCAGAAATCTCCCTCCGCGCCCAAGAGGACCTCAGCACCGCAAGTAGTGCAGATGCAGCATGGAACCTGTGCCATACCCTACCCATCATGCCAGTAAACCAGCAATCTGGGATAGCAACCTCACATCTGCCGAGTTACCTCGGTGGACAAAAGAGAGGGCGGCCGGATATCTGCCACAAAGCATACCTCCTTCGGCCACCACCCCCGGAATCCGAAAGGTGGCTTCCAGAGATACACCCGTCGCCTGCAAGACACCCAAAGCCACCCTCCGGGATACCGGAGAGGGATCGGGACATCCCCAGGCTATCCAGATTCCACGGCAAACTACGCCACCGCCAAGAACCTCAACGGAATGGGATGGACCCTGGTACCCTTTCCCCTGCCCAGGAACTAGCACGCCTGTGGGAAAAATCCCAAAGGCCAAAAAAGGAAGGGCAAAAGGGAGGGGTGGGGAGGAGGAGGTGGAAAGGAAAAAGGGGAGCATGGGGAGGATGGGATAGGAAGGGGGGGATTGGGGGTAATTAGGTTCGGTCTGAGCAAGGAGACCGACAGGTCTAATTCCTCAGACCAAGAGCCTCTTCACCACGCCAAGGAGCCCCCCTTGAAGAGGAAGGGGGCTGATACCTCCCTTTCTGGAGAAATTTTCTCCACAACACCTATGATTAACACCTGTAATTGTTTAACACCTGAAACTGCATATCACTTGTAATTGCAGAACATCTGCAATTGCTTCATTCCTGTATTTTATATGTGCTATAATTGCTCTATACTAGTAATTAATTCATTTATTATCTTTATGCCAGCAGTTATGTCATCTAGGAATAATTTATCCTCTTTTATGTTACTTTCATTATTATTATTATAATAAAAAAGAAGCGCTAAACCCACTAGAGCGTGTTACCCTCAGGTGGTATCGTAGGCCTCAACATGCAAATTCCCCATCTGCCTTCTCGTCTTCTGCCTTGGCGCTGCCGAAGGGCTCTTGTGCCTAGGGACTGAAGCTGTCTTCTATTTTCTCTAAGTCAAGCTGATCGTCTCTCATTCCCAGGCACTGTCTGACCCCATCATATATAAAAAAAAAAAAACTAGTGACACGTGAGGTGCTGACCTCCTGAACACTGACCTGTGAGGTGCTGACCTCCTCAACACTGACCTGTGAGGTTATGACCTCCTCAACACTGACCTGTGAGGTGCTGACCTCCTGAACACTGACCTGTGAGGTGCTGACCTCCTCAACACTGACCTGTGAGGTTATGACCTCCTCAACACTGACCTGTGAGGTGCTGACCTCCTGAACACTGACCTGTGTGGTGCCGACCTCCTCAACACTGACCTGTGAGGTGCTGACCTCCTGAACACTGACCTGTGTGGTGCCGACCTCCTCAACACTGACCTGTGAGGTTCTGACCTCCTCAACACTGACCTGTGAGGTGCCGACCTCCTCAACACTGACCTGTGACGTGCTGACCTCAACACTGATGAGTTACGCTCACCTTTCTTCCTCTTCCAGGTGGGTGCCCAACAGTCCGAAGAAGGATCACAGAATTACCTTCGCTTTGCTAGTTCCGGACTCGGTACATAGACGATGGTACCTCAATGAAAATGGTGACTGGGCGTCTGGCTACATCTGTGAGATCTTCTGAGAGTGAGAGAGTGAGAGTGAGAGTGAGAGTGAGAGTGGGAGAATGAGTGAGAGAGAGAGAATAAAGTCAACTGACCAATTGAACTCGCTGGCCCACAGATGGCTCCAACTTCAGCCTGTTCACTACTTGTCTCATAACAATAAAAAGGCTTTAAAATGAGCTGATGTAGGTAACAGCTCTTAGCTGGTAAATAAAGTTAGGAACTTTAACCTAACCTTGTAAAACCCTGTGTGAAGACAGAGAAAAAGAATAATCACTAAAATGCTATTCATAACCGGCAATAAAGCATTGTAATTAAACTGTATATTTTCAATAATAATGCCGTGAACAATATAAATTTTGATTAAACATTTTGTATATTGCGCTAGTAACCCCTTGACGGAGGAGGAGGAGGTGGAGGAGTAGGAACAGCAGGGGGAGGGGGAGGAAGAGGAGGAAGAGGAGGAGGAGAAGGAGGAGGAGGAGAAAGAGGTGGGGAGGAGGAAGAGGAGGAGGAGGAGGAGAAGGAGGAGGAGGAGGAGGAGGAGGAGGAGGAGAAGAAGGAGAAGGAGAAGGAGGAGAAGGAGGAGGAGGAGAGAGATGGGGAGGAGGAGGAGGAGGAGGAGGTGGAGGAGGAGGAGGAGGAGGAGGAGGAGGAAGTGGAAGGAGGAGAAAGAGGTGGGGAGGAGGAGGAGGAGGAGGAGGAGGTGGAGGAGGAGGAGGAGGAGAAGGAGGTGGAGGAGGAGGAGGAGGAGGAGGAGAAGGAGGTGGAGGAGGGAGGAGGAGGAGGAGGAGGAAGTGGAGGAGAAGGTGGAGGAGAAGGAGATGGAGGAGGAGAAGGAGGAGGAGGAGGAGGAAGAGGAGGAGGGGGGAGGAGAAGGAGGAGGGGAAGAGGAGGAAGAGGGGAGGAGGAGGAAGAAGAGGGGAGGAGGGGGAAGTGGAGGAGGAGGAGGTTTTGTTCACTTACATGCTTCAGTGTCAACACTTATTCTACACAACTCTAAAGCTTCCTTGTTCATCTACAATCCTACTCACTTTCTTACCTTTATTTTCTTCAATAATAACACCATCATATTCCTTACATGGTATACGAAGCAGACTTTTTCCCCTGTAATGATTACATATTTAATCCATTTTTCTGGTTAATCCATTTTTTCAATTTACGAAAGAATTATACATTTCTGTCTTGATCCCATCTATTCCAGCTACTTTACTCCCTTTCATTCCACCTGCATCTTAACGAGGCACCTCTCTCACACTCACATCTGGCTCTTCCTCACTCCTACAATATGTTACATATCTCTGCCAAATGCATGAAATCACTACTCTGTCTCTCTCTTCATCAATATTTAACAGTTCCTCAAGTATTCCCTCCATCTTCCCAGTACTTCCACCTTCCCATCTAATGGCTCTTCTCTTCTGTTATAAACTGCTAAAACCATTTGTTCTCAAGGCTTTCTCAACTTATTGATCCGACCTCAAGGCATTTTTTTTTTTTTTGGTTTCAGCATAATTTGTTGATAAAACCACACCTATTCTTTCACTGACACTTTCTTTATACATAACCACTCTCTAACTTTTCTTTTACTCTACATGTATACTCCGCTCTCCGTATATAATTTCTACATTGTAAACACCTCTAGTATGATAAAAAAAAAAGACAATACCGTGACTGGAACGATACACAAATAACCCACACATAGAAGAGGAGCTTACGACGACGTTTCGGTCCGACTTGGACCATTTACAAAGTCACACTAACGAAAAGGAGAGCCGGATGGGTATATATAGGACGGAGGTGGTTGTAGTAGTAATAGTGGTAGTAGTGGAGTTGGAAGGTAGTAGTATTGGGGAGGTAGTAAGAGGAGGAGCCAGTCAAATACTACGGAAGAGGAGCACTGCAAGGGACCTGGTGCCCACAGAGGGTAAGAGCAAGAACACCGAGGGGGGGGAATAAAGAAGGAACAAATACACAGGGCAGAAGAAAAACAACCCAAAGGAGAAAGGGAAAGAAGAAAGGGAAGAGGGAGACGAAAAAGGAGGAATCAGGTTAGGTCACGGGTGTTCTGAAGTTTGGAGCATTTTACAGTGTAGTGGGAGAGGAAGGCAACTATAGAGACAAAGCCACCCACCCACCAGGGATGGTTGATGAAGCCACTGGTGGGCACCCACTCACCCACCAGGGATGGTTGATATAGCCACTTGGTGGGAACCCACTCGCCCACCAGGGATGGTTGATGAAGCCACTGGTGGTCGCCCACTCACCCACCAGGGATGGTTGATATAGCCACTTGGTGGGAACCCACTCACCCACCAGGGATGGTTGATGAAGCCACTGGTGGGCGCCCACTCAACCACCAGTGATGGTTGATGAAGCCACTGGTGGACGCCCACTCAACCACCAGGGATGGTTGATGAAGCCATTGGTGGACGCCCACTCAACCACCAGGGATGGTTGATGAAGCCATTGGTGGACGCCCACTCAACCACCAGGGATGGTTGATGAAGCCACTGGTGGACGCCCACTCAACCACCAGGGATGGTTGATGAAGCCACTGGTGGGCGAGCACCCACCCATTAGGTGTGATTGACGAAAGACGAAGTACAAGTGAATGAAAGAGGAAGTAGCAGTGTATGCAAGAGGAAGTAGTGTATTAAAGAGGAAGTAGTGTATTAAAGAGGAAGTAGTGTATTAAAGAGGAAGTAGTGACGTGAATCACAAATGTTTTGAGTAAATTGTGTATGAATAATTATACACAAATGACATCAACCTGAATGAAAATATAAACAAAAAATAAATAAATTATGATTCCACAAAGATTTGACCAGGTGACCCAACCTTGTTTACCTCTTGATGACCCAACCTTCCAGAGAGACTTGACCTGGTGACCCAACCTTGTTTACCTCTTGATGACCCAACCTTCCAGAGAGACTTGACCTGGTGACCCAACCTTGTTTACCTCTTGATGACCCAACCTTCCAGAGAGACTTGACCTGGTGACCCAACCTTGTTTACCTCTTGATGACCCAACCTTCCAGAGAGACTTGACCTGGTGACCCAACCTTGTTTACCTCTTGATGACCCAACCTTCCAGAGAGACTTGACCTGGTGACCCAACCTTGTTTACCTCTTGATGACCCAACCTTCAGAGAGACTTGACCTGGTGACCCAACCTTCCAGAGAGACTTGACCTGGTGACCCAACCTTGTTTACCTCTTGATGACCCAACCTTCCAGAGAGACTTGACCTGGTGACCCAACCTTGTTTACCTCTTGATGACCCAACCTTCCAGAGAGACTTGACCTGGTGACCCAACCTTGTTTACCTCTTGATGACCCAACCTTCCAGAGAGACTTGACCTGGTGACCCAACCTTGTTTACCTCTTGATGACCCAACCTTCCAGAGAGACTTGACCTGGTGACCCAACCTTGTTTACCTCTTGATGACCCAACCTTCCAGAGAGACTTGACCTGGTGACCCAACCTTGTTTACCTCTTGATGACCCAACCTTCAGAGAGACTTGACCTGGTGACCCAACCTTCCAGAGAGACTTGACCTGGTGACCCAACCTTGTTTACCTCTTGATGACCCAACCTTCAGAGAGACTTGACCTGGTGACCCAACCTTGTTTACCTCTTGATGACCCAACCTTCCAGAGAGACTTGACCTGGTGACCCAACCTTGTTTACCTCTTGATGACCCAACCTTCAGAGAGACTTGACCTGGTGACCCAACCTTGTTTACCTCTTGATGACCCAACCTTCCAGAGAGACTTGACCTGGTGACCCAACCTTGTTTACCTCTTGATGACCCAACCTTCAGAGAGACTTGACCTGGTGACCCAACCTTGTTTACCTCCTGATGACCCAACCTTCCAGAGAGACTTGACCTGGTGACCAAACCTAACAAATACAACACATAGTAATAGTAAAGAGAGTAATGTCAGTGGCGGTTCAGTGAAATGCTCTGCTCTCATCCTTATCGTCATCCTCATCTGACGTAAAGATGCCAGCCACAGCACCGTGTGCTCCTATGCTGATGATACCACTATATACATTACAGTGTCATCCACTGAGAACACAGCAGATCTCCAAGCGGACATTAGCTAAGTCTATAAATGGGCCTCAGAAAACAATGAGAAATTCAATGAGGATAAATTTCAATTACTCCGCTATGGAAAACTCTAGGAAAAAAAACGAAATCGGAGTATAGAGCAAATTCTAACCACAAAATATAGCGAAAACCTAATGTGAATGACCTGGAAGTGATAAAGTTAGATAATCTCACTTTCAAACATGACAACAATGTGTCTACCACATCTGCTAGGAAAATGATAGAATGGTAAATAAGATCCCTCAGAACTAGGGATGCCAAGCCAATGATCGCTTGTCCTGTCTTGGCTAGAGTACTGCTCTACACTAACAGCCTCTTTTAAAGCGCGCGAAATTGTAAACCTGGAGAATATTCAGAGAACTTTCGCTGCCCGTATAAGCACAATAATGCACCTCGGTTACTGGGAATGGATGAAGTCCCTTGACCTGTATTCCTTGGAACAATGTCTAGAAAGATCCGTCATAACATACATTTGGAAAATCCTAGAAGTACTAATCCCAAATCTGCACACGGAAATCACTCCCTACGAAAGCAAAAGACTCGGCAGGCGGTGCAACATCCACCCAATTCAAAGCAGGGGGACAATGAGCACACTAAGATATCACAATACGAGGGGCCCAAGATTGTTTATCTGCCTACCTGGACACAAAAAGGGGATTATCAATTGACTTAACTGTCTTCAAGAGAGCTGGGCAGGTACCTAAAGTCAGTACATGACCAGCCGGGCTGTGATTCGTAAGTTGGTTGAGAGCGGCTGGCAGTATCAGCCAGACTGATCAGGCCCTGAACCACTGCGAGCCCGGTTATGGACCTGGCCGTGGGGGCGTTGAACCCCGAACACCTTCCAGTTATACTCCACGTATGCATATAAATCTTTATAAATAAATTAACTCCAGGGAGAATCACCCACCTGT